TGACCTCTATGACATCTTTGACCTCCGTGACCCCTCAATGACCTCTCGATTCCTTTTTGTGACCTTTCGATGACCTCGCGGTGACCTCTCTGTAGAGTACTTGGGTGGTCTTGGTTAGATGCGTATCTGTTTTGACTTGATTTAAGTGTGTCAGGCGGGAGAAAGATACGGTAGGCGCACGCAGCACCCGGGTGCTTTTTAGCGATCCCCTAAACCTTTTAACGTGCATTTCGAAAAGCCAATTTACAGCTTCCGCTCTGCGTCTCTCTCTCTCTCTCTCTTCTCCTCTCTCTCCTCTCTCTCTGAGTCTCTTATGGTTTTAACTGCAAGAAGAAGGAAGAAGAAGTAGGAAGAAAAAGTAAGGACAAGAAAAAGAAAAATAAGAACGAGAAGTAGAAAAAAAAATATTCGCCTCTCGCCGGCGCTCTCTCTCTCTCTCTATTCTATCGAATCTATCTTTTTTTATATCTATCTATCTATCATATCTACTCTATCTATCTATCTATCCTATTTATCTATCTGATCTCAATCTTTTCTCTCCTCTCTTCTCTCTCTCTCTCTCTCGTCTCTCTTTCTCCACTTCTCTCTCTCTCTCTCTCTCTCTCTCTCTCCTCCCACACTCTCTTTCTCCCCTTCTCTCTCGCTCTCTTTCTCTCTTCCTTGCTTTCTCCCCCACACACTCTCTCTCTCTATCTCTGTCTCTATCTCCAATACCATAATCACATTCCTCGCATTTCGCACGGAGCCCCCCGGTTTCCGTTAATTGGCTACAAACCGATGTTTTTTTCAGACGTGTAATTAGCCAACACTAACTTCTTCTAATCTGTCTTCTTCGCGCAGGCGCCATTTGCAATCTCACTCTCACCCTGTGCGAACATGTATAGTTAAGTGTATAGGGTTATAGCAACTATTTATCTAAGACTTCATTTCGATGCTTGTCAGCTAGTGTACGATCATGCGAATCCGTATCGTTAAGTGTATAGGTTTATAGCAAGAATTTATCCAAGACTTCATATGCAATGCTTGCTAATATGCTTGCTTGTCACTATGGTCCCGTAAGACTGCAAGCTAAGGATGAGAACGGTTATTTTTGGGACGCGAGATTGGCTCATTTTAATTATCTGTTCACCCGGAAATACCAGATCAATATTTAGTGATGTGGGAGTTGAAGTCAACCGGGACGCGGAAAAGCCGAAATTGTCGATTTTAATTAACGGGGAACTGCGAAATGGCACATTTTCTACATGAGCAACTGGAAATGGGCTCTTTACCTCTCCCCCGCTCCCACTCGCTTCACCTCCTCCCCCGCTCCCCTCACCTCCTCCCCCGCTCCCCTCACCTCCTCCCCCGCTCCCTTCACCTCCTCCCCGCTCCCTTCACCTCCTCCCTCGCTCCCCTCTCATCGCTCGACATGCGGACGTTACAGCGGGCGATGCGGTTGTCATAGTTACACGTACGGCGTCTTCACGCGTGGCAGACTCGAGTGTACGCCTGTCAGCTTCCGTGCGGCCGTGTCAGCTGCGGCGGGCCGTGTCAGTGGCCGTGTCAGCTGTGGCGGGCCACCCAGGCGCGCGCAGACAGGAGCAGCACGAACACACGCGCGCTGCCGTGCGAAAGCACCGCGCTGCTTTGAGAGAGAGGGAGAGAGAGAGCGAAAAAGAGAAAAAGAGAGAGAGGGGGAGTGAGAGACGAAAGAGAGAGAGAGAATGAGAAAGAGAGAGAGAGG